CATAAACCAACCTTTATCAACATTTTCCAGCTACCTCTTCTATGCTTCAAATATTATGGCAAGAGCAACTACACTAAATGTAATGTAGTGTTTGGCTTGGCATGGTTTAGAGATGCTTACTGGCAAGCAAAGTATTCACAAGCATGGCAAGAATGCCTGACGCCAATAAATGTGCCAATTACAGTCTAACAAGCGCAGATATTAAGGAGACCTGTGAAAATGTAAATATATAAGAAACTAAATATGTACAACCCACAGATTGTATAATAAAACAAAACAAAAAAAAACATCAGTTCCTAACCATACCTCAACATCAAAGAGCGTAGACCCGTATCCTGGCCACTCCGCGATAATGACCATATAGTTCACCATGGCCTGGTGCTGAGACATCCCATGCAGCCTGCTCCACTTCTCAGCTATACTGGTGCGAGCGGCAGACAGCTCTTCCTTCACCCACATCTCCAGCATCTGCTCCTCCTCCATCTTCTGCTTCTTCATAGAGCCCACTTTGAAACCACGTTTAAGAGTGCCCTCCAGAAAGCTGGTCCTCCTCCTCTCCAGGGTCTGCCCGGAGCTGCTGCTGCTCTTGGTGGCCTGCAGGATCTTGTTCTTTAGTCGCTGCACGGGATACACGGACTCCAAGTTCCAGGAGACCTTGCAGAAGTCTCCATGCTGATACTGAAGCCGCAGGGCTGCCAAGTGTTGCAGGGTTTCTTCAGGGGCTGGAAAGTGGCCGCTTGTCAGACTCTCATGGGCCTGAAAAAGAATAAAAAAGTATAATATATCTAAAAAAGTGACCACAGATATGAGATGACCACGGACAATTCCAGCCAATGATTAAATGTCTATGGAATCCTTCAGACCCCAGACAATTAATCTCGAGGGGTGGCTCAGTAATGCTGAATAATTGCACCCGACTATAACCGCTTTCTAAATGGAATAAGACGGCCCCAGAGGTGTTTGGCCACACCCTCCCTCCCACTACATTAGGCAAGCAATAGATCACCATAGAAGTAATCTGTCCCTTCAGGGTGAGCCAGGTCAGAGTCGGATATGCTCTGCCCTAACTTTTGGAAGTACTGTGACATTCGATCACTTCCATGCGGAAGCATTGTGTTGCAGTGCATGACTTTTGAGATCTTTGGGGGGTCTGTAGCAGGGTCAGAAGCCAAGGTCTGGTTAATTCGGCTTAGTGCTAGATCAAGGCTGTCACAACTTGCAATTCTAACACCAAAGCCCGCCAGCACCTGCCGGAGCCGCTGAGTCCAGGTGCACTTAGTAGAACTATGGGATGAGTGAAATACACTGATCCCCAAAGTTAGAGCTGAAGTGTGACACTGCAGCTGTCATACATTGGTTCTATTGATTGAACACTGAATGATCACATACCGCTGATCGCTCAGTTCATGATCTTCTCCCTGCAGAGATTCTCCCCTCCCATCTCTCTGTTCCTCCAGTGCTCATTGGAAGGACAGACAGGGGAGGGGACGGGCACAGCTGGCTCTGCCTTTAGAGAGGCAGCTGTCAATCAGGCAGCGGGGTGGATCCAGACAATATTGTCAGGATCCATCCTAACTGCAGCATGGCTCTGCGCTGCCAGCATATAGCGGACAATAGTCTGCTATATGCTGGGGTTTGGGTCACAGGAGGACATAAGTAAATGTCTTCCTGTGACCCTAAAGAGAACTACGGACGAAAGCGGTTTGGACATAGTTCTCTTTTAAACAGTTACAGTAATTAAATCAACTCTGATATAATCTATGAGACCATAAAACACATTCTACAGTACGTGCCCTAACATGTAAACAGTTACGGATCTCTTCATATAGTGCGGGTTTGCATGAGTGATGAAAACCAGATCACAATATTGGTAAGGAATTGTTACATCCTTTCCAGATGTTGTGTAATAAAAAAGATATACCTGCTCAAACATGAAGGCAAATTCAACACCCTCTTTAGGAACGCTCTGCACGTCGAGGAAGCAGTAGAGTTTGAAGTATAGATTCCACTGTACTGCCTCGTCCTCCTCCTCTCCTGTGCCGGCCAGTCTGTTAAAGGCAACAGAATGATTACAGGACTAAAGAGGTCACAAAATTGGAAAAAAAAAAAAAAATAGACAATGCGAGAAAGGCATCAAATAAATGTTACAACCTCTCAAATTTTGCAAGCACATCAGCTACGATCACGCGGCTTTCCACCGCTCGGTCCATAGCTTTGTTGTGTTCAAATAGGGCGAACATGTTTCTGCTGTTATCCATAGATAGACCGCGGATTAACTTCTCCACCACCTGCAACAAAGGATACACAATTCCCACCAAGGTCAGCGATGGAAATGGAGACTATTGGAAGCAAAGCTGGAAATTTGTTATGCGTTTCTCAGAAGGAGAGGGGTGAGAGGGAGGGAAAGTGGGGAAAAAGTGAGGTGAAGGGCGAAAGAGTGGCAAGAAAGAAAAAAAGGGGGCGGGGGGAATAAAAGAGAGAGAGAGCAAAAGAGAGAAATGTGCAAAAGAATTGGGTACAACTTTCTTATTAATTTCAGAGTACAATTGCCAGTGAGGGAAAGAAATACAAGCTCAGAAGAGAGGCGAAGGAGGAGGAGGCGAAGAAGAAGGAGGAGGAGGCGAAGAAGAAGGAGGAGGAGGCGAAGAAGAAGGAGGAGGAGGCGAAGAAGAAGGAGGAGGAGGCGAAGAAGAAGGAGGAGGAGGCGGAGGCGAAGAAGAAGGAGGCAAAGGAGGAGGAGGAGGCGAAGAAGAAGGAGGAGGAGGCGGAGGCGAAGAAGAAGGAGGCAAAGGAGGAGGAGGAGGCGAAGAGGAAGGAGGAGGAGGCGAAGAAGGAGGAGGCGAAGAAGAAGGAGGAGGCGAAGAAGAAGGCGAAGAAGAAGGCGAAGAAGAAGGAGGAGGAGGAGGCGAAGAAGAAGGAGGAGGAGGAGGAGAGGATAGGAGGAGGAGGCAAAGAAGAAGGAGGAGGAGGCAAAGAAGAAGGAGGAGGAGGCAAAGAAGAAGGAGGAGGAGGCAAAGAAGAAGGAGGAGGCAAAGAAGAAGGAGGAGGAGGAGGAGGCAAAGAAGAAGCAGGAGGAGGCAAAGAAGAAGGAGGAGGAGGAGGAGGCAAAGAAGAAGAAGGAGGAGGAGGAGGCTAGAAGGAGAAGGAGAGGAGGCGAAGGAGGAGGCGGAGAGGAGGCGAAGAAGGAGGAGGCGAAGGAGAGGAGGAGAGGAGGCGAAGAAGGAGAAGGAGAGGAGGCGAAGAAGGAGAAGGAGAGGAGGCGAAGAAGGAGAAGGAGAGGAGGCCAAAAAGAGGAGAGAAGGCGAAGAAGAAGGCGAGGAGGCGAAGGAGAGGAGGCGAAAAAAGAGAAGAGGCGAAGAAGGAGAAGGAGAGGAGGCGAAGAAGGAGAAGGAGGCGAAGAAGGAGAAGGAGAGGAGGCGAAGAAGGAGAAGGAGAGGAGGCGAGGAGGCGAAAAAAGAGAAGAGGCGAAGAAGGAGAAGGAGAGGAGGCGAAGAAGGAGAAGGAGAGGAGGCGAAGAAGGAGAAGGAGAGGAGGCGAAGAAGAAGGAGAGGAGGAGAAGAAGAAGGAGAGGAGGAGAAGAAGAAGGAGAGGAGGAGAAGAAGAAGGAGAGGAGGAGAAGAAGAAGGAGAGGAGGCGAAAAAGAGGAGAAGAGAGAAAGAGAGGAGGAGAAGAGAGGAGGAGAAGAGAGAAAGAGAGGAGGAGAAGAGAGGAGGAGAAGAGAGAAAGAGAGGAGGAGAAGAGAGGAGGAGAAGAGAGAAAGAGAGGAGGAGAAGAGAGGAGGAGAAGAGAGAAAGAGAGGAGGAGAAGAGAGGAGGAGAAGAGAGAAAGAGAGGAGGAGAAGAGAGAAAGAGAGGAGGAGAAGAGAGAAAGAGAGGAGGAGAAGAGAGAAAGAGAGGAGGAGAAGAGAGAAGAAGAAGGAGAGGAGGAGAAGAGAGGAGGAGAAGAGAGGAGGAGAAGAGAGGAGGAGAAGAGAGGAGGAGAAGAGAGGAGGAGAAGAGAGGAGGAGAAGAGAGGAGGAGAAGAGAGGAGGAGAAGAGAGGAGGAGAAGAGAGGAGGAGAAGAGAGGAGGAGAAGAGAGGAGGAGAAGAGAGGAGGAGAAGAGAGGAGGAGAAGAGAGGAGGAGAAGAGAGGAGGAGAAGAGAGGAGGAGAAGAGAGGAGGAGAAGAGAGGAGGAGAAGAGAGGAGGAGAAGAGAGGAGGAGAAGGAAGAAGAAGAGAGGAGACGGAGACGAAGAGAGGAGGAGAATAAGGAAGAAGAGAGGAGAAGGAGGAGAAGAGAGAACAGTAGAAAAAAGAGACGAGAAGGAAAAGAACAGAAAAGAGAGAATGACAGAGAGAGAGGCGTGAGTGTGTGTGTTCCAGAGTGGTGGAGAGGGAAAGAGGTGACTGAGTGGGGAGAGAATGTAAGAGAGGGGGAGAGGTATAGGGTGACAAAACTCAGCTAATTATGCTTTTGTGTTGTCACACTGTCATATGCTCTCCCAAAACAGATTGCTGGTAGCCACTGCAACACACATTCTGCATGCATGGCCCAGGAGACCAGCCCAGAGAAATGCCATGGGATTATTGCTGGAGTACATGTAGACAGAAGTGGGCCCAAGGAGGCTGCAGGAGATCAGCAAAAAATTATATATTTACACACAGCACATGCTAAATGTCCTCTATCAGCCTGGCACTGAAGATAATCCTTACCTCGCCGGCAGTGGTGTGGGAATGGATACTGATCTGGCAGGAACCTCCTCCATGGCAGTAAACCGTCGTGTTCATATTGCTGCGCGTCAGTAGGGCGGAGATCTCCTCCTGGGATGGCACCATCTCTCTGCATTTGGTTTTCTTCAGGGCATCCACAATGAAATGGGCAAACTGCTCCACCTCTGTTCCGGGAAAGCTGTCCCTTACCCTACAGGAAACAATGCATCAGTATCGGCCTCATCGGTAGGGAAGATGCAATGCTGTATAGATTTAATTCTCATTAAGATTCAAACATTAGTTAAGGAATGGGGGGATATTTGTAATATGTACTCTATTTATTAGAGATGCACCAATACCATTTTTTTCCAGACCGAGTACTGATACTTTTCCTCAAGTACTCGCCGATACCAATTACCGATACCTTTTTTTTTTTGTGTGTGTGTGTGTGCGTCATGTGACATTTTTTCTAAAACAATACAGACTAATGATTTCAGGACAGTAGTAAAGTGCCAGGGCCCAATTCCAGCTGCAAACGTGTGTCCCCTCGTAGTTCTGCCGCTAACTCCAAGCTGTAGAGGTACTACAGATATCAGCAATCCATTACACAGCAATGCACAATGGCAACCGGCTATAGAGGACTACAAATCACAGCAATGCATTATAAAGCAATGCAGAATAATATTAAGCTACATACTCCATGGTGCTCCGGGGGGGCTGGTCTGATGTCTCCAGCAGAGGTGACTGTGCGGGGTCTCAGGAGGGCTGTGCAGCTGAGAACAAAAAGCCATAGCGCAGTCTGCCAGTGCAGGAGGACCATAGATCACGACAAGGCTGTTGATGAGCTGTCATGTGATACATTTCATTCCATAACTTTATGCTTTCTCCAGCTGCAGCAGACTGGCAGTTGATAGTGGAGTACAGAGACAACACATGACCGTGAATTTGATCCTCACCTCTTGAGATGAAACTTGAAATAGCGGAGGATGTCTCGGCCAGGCAGGAAAGTGCAGCTCATGCAGGTGAGCAGTTGCCAGTGCCGCAGGTTACCCGCGCTGTTGGGCTGAGGAACGTGATTGGTCTGTTTGATCAGCTGACAATAAACCTCGTCTCTGAGCGGCTTGAGATCCTGGCAGGTCTGTAGGATGCCCTGGATTATGGGGACCGGGTCGGGGACCGTCTCTATTTCCTGCAGGGAGTTAAAGATCCTCACTGCCTCATCCTGGAGGGTGGTGTATCCCTTTTCCTTTTGTACTAAACTCAGAAGTGGGACAAAAAAAAAAGCGGAGAAAGTCAAGTGAACACAGAATTCAGGAGCAGGTCAGTTCAATATAGCAGACTGCAGGGAATTTAAGGGAACTGTTTAGCTGGAAAACATAATATGTAAAAACGATTTTGTAATTCAATGTTATTAGAGCAAAGGATTTAAGTAAATTAGCAAAAGACAACTGGTCAGGGCTGACACCACTCACTTCACAAAAAAGCTGTGCGTTTCTGACTGGATCAATGGGCATTTTTCTGTACTTACGGAGTATTTAAAGGGATAAAACATGGGAAATGTGTGTTTATTGCAGAAATATACTCCATGGGTTGTTTTTTTTCTGACATACAATTTAAATGCATCATAATTGCCCTTTAATCCAAATAGGCGGCTTATTCACCCCTCTCCTGTACTGGTACAAGCAAGTTTATCGCTCGCTGGTGCGGAGATCTGGGTATAATTTATGTCACCTCATTGTTCAAAGTTTATTTTCATGAAAGCTTAAACTCATATTGTCCATTGTTTGGAGATGAGGAAGTCAATTTCTTTAAAGGGCATTTAGAGTTCCCTCATTCGATATTACAATGGTGACAATGGGAGCTGGAAGTCAATGCTCGGAGGTTACTTTGGGTTCTCGGGGTCATTGTATATTATTCGCCACAGTCCCGGGAAGCATGGAAACTGCATTGTAACTTAAAGGATGTGTATTCCTATAGAACATGTAATCCTGAATAAGAGTTTGGTTCATAAAAAGGAAATCAATAGCCCCAAAATATAAATATATCCTCAGGATATCTATTCATATGTCTGAATGCTTTCACTATGGACAGCCTTGTTCAGTCTGGTCATGGACAAAACCCTTGCAGCAGGGCTACCTCCGCACTGCGAGGGTTAACTGTTCATAGAAGTTTTCATAGAACTGTATAGAAGTTTTACTTACCTAATCCCCCCCCATACGGCTGGCAACAAGAGCGGTGCCCACAGCCTCTTCCCCTCTGCGCTTCAGCGTTTGGAGATCTGCTGACGTCATCGCATCTAATACAGGGTCCACAGCCTGGCATTATATGCGAGGGTGCCAAGGGACAGTCCATGACCCGGAGTGGAGGGGAGGGAGGTAAGCACTGACCACTGAGGAAGCGGGGATCAGGTTTACAGAATACCACTAGACAAACAACGAGCAGTGAACCCTTGCAGTGTGGGGGCAGCCCTGCTGCAAGGGTAGGTTTTTTTCCCCCAATACCCAGAGATGGGCTTTAAGGGCAATAATAGCTGTATGGCAGCAGAGGAAGAGCTGTGAACTATATCTGCAAGACACGGCTAATGAGAAAATCATCATTTCATACCCATCATGAAAGAAATGAATGAAATGCAGCCTTCACTGTGGATACCCATGGACTTCTTTGGGACCATCTCCCACTTATCTTCAGTCTCAGGAGTGGGGCCCATACTGGTATATGGGGATCTACTGCAGAGGCATGGGCAGCATATAGCAAATGTCAAGCGAGGGACGCAAGCATT